AGATAGTCGGGTCATTGACTCAGGTTGCTCTTATCACATGTGTCAAATAATATAATACTTTGAAACTTTGAAGATGGTGCAAGGTGGAGTAGTTCGCCTTGGTAATAATAAGGCATGCAAGGTTCATGGTATTGGTACGATCAGATTTAAAATGTTTAATGATCGTGAACTTCTTATTCACCAATGTGAGGTATGTTCAATAACTCAAGCGAGATTTTGTATCTCTAAGTATGTTTGACGATCTAGGCTATTGTACTAGAGTTGAACTTAGAGCGTTGAAGATTTTGCGTGATGAATTGATTATTGCTAAAGGGTCTAAAATATGTGGTATATATACTTTAGAAGGTTCAAATGTTATTACTCATTCATCGTTAACTAGTGGAGGCTTTTATGACAAGGAAGAGCTATGAGATTTGAGTTTACAGCGTTATGAATGTCTTGAGAAAGTTTCAGAGGAGTACAACGAATTTTGCAGAAATAAAGGGATAAAAATGCATGTTACCGCTGAGTTGTTATTTAGTTTTTAGGGAAGAGTTGAGGTTAAAACAACTTACTTGGTTGGTAGAGAATTTCTTCTAAAGTATAATAGAGAAAACTCAGTTTGAGGTGGAGTTTCCTATTATGGATGCTAGCTATAGTGAAGGAAAGGTTAAAGAGATCTCTGATTATCATTTGACTCATGATAAGGTAAGGAGGGTTATTGTAGCATCTCAAAGGGGAGATTATGCTAGCCTTGGATATTATGTTTTTAATGTGGCTGGAGGACTGCAAAATAAAAGAAGAAAAACCTTCAGGGAGGAATTTGAAAACAGGTGGAGTCAAAGGTGGTTGACATATCATACTTGTAGGCTTGTTAAGTTACCTAGGAAGACAAGGGTAATTGGGAACAAGTGGATGCAAGTTGCGAGATCAAGATTCAAGGGTTGCTTGAATTTGATCAAAGTTATTGATTAAAGTTTGAACTTGGTAGAGAGCAGCAATATTGTTGATTGTTAAACTGGTATCAACAAAATTTAAACTCAAGGTGGATATTGTTGTAAATGTACCTTAAAACCTTTGTTGATGAAGAGAAAGAAAGCATATTATGGAGATTTCATTTACCGTAAAAATCAGAAGTTTTAGAAAGTCAGATGAAAAGTCGAAGAAAAACATCTGTCGATGAATAGTGTCGTCCGTATGGTGAATAGTGATATCCGTACGGTGAATAGTGATGTCAGTACGGTGAATGATGTTGTCAGTACGGTGAATAGTGTTTTTGAATTTTCGGTCATATTTTAATTTGGTCCATGGTTCCATGTGATTTTCGACCTTTATTTGTTGGGTATTTTCTATTATAAATATGTATCTCTTACGTGTTTGGTGCGTGACAATCTTAGAGTTTTCATCAACAAGGGAGACCAAGGGTTTCAAGGTATAACATAGGGTTTTAGCTATGCATAAAGAAAAGCTTGGATTACACCTTGGGTTTGAGTGATTCGTATATTGGGAGTTGGAGAGGTAAGGAAACACTTGGGGTAGAAAATTGGATTGTTCTTGGTCACCTTCAGGGTTGTTCTTGGGAACCTGAAGGTGAAGGCTATTTTCTTGTAACTCATCTGTAATCTCTTGTAACAACTTTCTGAGTATAGTGAACTGGAAAGCTGCTCTATCCCCTAGAGTAGATCATTTGATCGAACGAGGTAAACAAACCTTCAATTTTTTCTTTCCCTATTCTATTATATTATCTATGTACGAATTATTATTGCTGAAGACCATTTATTTTGGTTGCTATTGTTGTTTGCCTCACAAATTGATATTGAATTTTGTAGTAATTCATAACAAGATTCACAACAAGTGGTGTCGTGAGCGTGGAGCAAATATATATTATTGACAAGTAAGCACCATGGTTAGTAGATGGCAGATCGAGAAATGTTATTACTCATTCATTGTTAAGTAGTGGAGGCTTTCATGAAAAGGAAGAGTTATGAGATTTGAGTTTACACCGTTATGAATGTCTTGAGAAAGTTTCAAAGGAGTACGATGAATTTTGCAGAAATAAAGGGATAAAAATGCATGTTACCGCTGAGTTATTATTGAGTTTTTGGGGAAGAATTGAGGTTAAAACAACTTACTTGGTTGGTATAGAATTTCTTCAGAAGAAGAATAGTGAAAACCAAGGGAGAAACCTTGGAGAAACTATAACAGAGAAAACTCAGTTTGAGGTGGAGTTTCCTACTATGGATGCTAGCAGTAGTGAAGGGAAGGTTACAGAGATCTCTGCAGGGCTTACACAGGTACAGAAGACCAAGATGATGGATAAGGTTAGGAGTGCCATTATCTTGTGCCTCGGGGATAAAGTTCTAAGAGAAGTCACCATAGAGCAAACTGCGGTTGCTATGTGGGAAAAGCTTGAATCATTGTATATGGCAAAGTCTTTGACTCACAGGTTGTATCTGAAACACCAACTCTATTCTTTCTGAATGGTTTAGAACAAGTCCATAATTGATCAATTCATAGAATTTCACAAGACTATTGATGATCTTGAAAGTATTCAAGTGAAGATTGATGACGAGGTCAAGGCTTTGCTCCTTTTGATTTCATTGCCCATATCCTTTGAGAATTTTAAGGATCCTCTTCTTTATGGTAAGGAAGGCACTATTACTTTGGATGAAGTCCAGACAATGGTAAAATCCAAAGAATTTTCAAATTTGAAAGATTTGAAGATTGAAGATAGTTGTGAAGAATTAAATGTGTCAAGAGGAAGAGGTGAGCGTAAAGGAATGTCCAAATCAAAGAGGCAGACAAGTCAAAGATGAAATATTTTAAGTGTCAGAAATAAAAGGTCAGTGAAGATTCTGTTCAAGATGTAGTTGCATTGGATGAGAAAAGTTATGAGAATGCTGAAGGACTAGTAGTATCGAGATTGGAAACTGAAGATAGTTGGGTCATTGACTCAGGTTGCTCTTATCACATGTGTCAAAGAATAGAATACTTTGAAACTTTGAAGATGGTGCAAGGTGGTGTAGTTTGCCTTGGTAATAATAAGACATGCAAGGTTCATGGTATTGGTACGATCAGATTTAAAATGTTTAATGATCGTGAACTTCTTATTCACCAATGTGAGGTATGTTCAAGAAGTCAAACGAGATTTGTTATGTCAAAGTATGTTTGATGATTTAGGCTATTGTATTAGAGTTGAACGTGGAGCGTTGACGATTTCGCGAGATGAATTGATTATTGCTAAAGGGTCTAAAATATGTGATCTATATACTTTAGAAGGTTCAAATATTATTAATCATTCATCGTTAACTAGTGGAGGCTTTTATGACAAGGAAGAGCTATGAGATTTGAGTTTACAGCGTTATGAATGTCTTATGAAAGTTTCAGAGGAGTACAACGAATTTTGCAGAAATAAAGGGATAAAAATGCATGTTACCGCTGAGTTGTTATTTAGTTTTTGGGGAAGAGTTGAGGTTAACAACTTACTTGGTTGGTAGAGAATTTCTTCAGAAGAAGAATATTGAAAACCAAGGGAGAAATTTTGAAGAAACTATAACAGAGAAAACTCAATTTGAGGTGGAGTTTCTTACTATGGATGCTAGCAGTAGTGAAAGAAAGGTAACAAAGATCTCTGATTATCATTTGACTCATGATAAGGTAAGGAGGGTTATTGTAGCATCTCAAAGAGACCATTATGCTAGCCTTGGATATTATGTTTTAATGTGGCTGGAGGATTGCAAAATAAAAGAAGAAAACCTTCAGGGAGGCATTTGAAAACAGGTGGAGTCAAAGGTAGTTGAAAAATCATACTTGTAGGCTTGTTAAATTACCTAGGAAGAAAAGGGTAATTGGGAACAAGTGGATGCAAGTTGCAAGATCAAGATTCAAGGGTTGCTTGAATTTGATCAAAGTTATTGATTAAAGTTTCAACTTGGTAGAAAGCAGTAATATTGTTGATTGTTAAATTGGTATCAACAAAATTTAAAGTCAAGGTGGAAATTGTTGTAAATGTGTTGTAAAACCTTTGTTGATGAAGAGAAAGAAAGCATATTTTGGAGATTTCATTTACCGCAAAAATCGGAAGTTTTAGAAAGTCGAGAAAAAAATCGATCGGTGAATAGTGCTGCACCGTACGGTGAATAGTGATATCCGTACGGTGAATAGTGACTCCGTACAATGAATAGGCTTGTCTGTAAGGTGAATAGTATTTTCGAATTTTCGGTCTTTTTTCGATTCGGTCCATGAATCCATGTGATTTTAGGCTTTGTTTGTTGGGTATTTGTTATTATAAGTATGTATCTCTTATCTTTTTGGTGCGTGACAATCTTAGAGTTTTCACCAATAAGGGAGATCATAAGTTTAAAGGTATAACATAGGGTTTCAGCTATGCATAAAAAAAATCTTGGATTACAACTTGGGTTTGAAAATATGGTTGTTTTTGGACACATTCAGGGTTGTTTTTGGAAACCTGAAGGTAAAAGCTGTTTTCTTGTAACTTATCTGTAATCTCTTGTAAAAACTTTCTGAGTATAGTAAATTGGAGAACTGCTCTCTCCTCCAAAGTAGATCGTTTGATGGAACTAGATAAACAAACCTTCGAGTTTTTTTTGTCTTATTGTATTATATTATCTGTGTACAAATTATTATTGTTAAAGACCATTTATTTAGTTGCTATTTTTCTTTACCTCACAAATTAATATTAAATTTTGTCGTAATTCACACCATATCTCAATCTTATTAAATGATTTATTGTTTAATAGTAAATTAGCAAAAGGTTGAATGCATGTCTTGTCAGAAAAATTTGAGATCACTTACTCTCATCCAGTATTCTTTTGCCTATATCATTCTAAAAAGACTTGTTTAAAACTAGGAAGAGAGAAGTAAAGATAAGTTTTATTTTCAACCGGAGACCATCATTACAACACAAGACTATGTAACATGCTTCATAGAGCATAATTTTACAATTTTATTTCATGCAAAACGTCTTAAACATAGCAGTAGACGCTTGCCAAAACCCATTTCTACAGGCCTTCAATGAAGGTCACCCCTGTGTCCTTCAACCAAACATTACCCTGGATGAGCTGTGCAACTGTAAACTTTCTCGCGTCTGCAGTATCGTTGATGACATGATAACCAGTCCAGTTCACTCTATTGCCAGTACCAGCACCAGGTCCACTGTTCATATATTCTCCGTAATACAATGTTTGGAGAAAGCTCTTACTCACGTCATTCCATTCAGCCCATCCCGTTGGGGCAATATGGTTTCCTATCAAGGACTGCATCACAACAGTCCTCGAGTAGTTCTTCCATGGGCGGCCTAGGTATGTTTTGAAGGAGTCTAGGACAGGTTCGAGGTCTGTGCTTGGTATTATGTCACACTGCTGAATTGAAGTTGCAGTGTTCTGGTTTGGGTCTAGTCGACCTTGGGCTGTGACCATGTTTGCTTGGTTTCTCATGGGCTTTCTGGCCACGATTTTGCTCTTCTGGATCACAACAGCTGCATTTCCAAAGATGAAATCAATGGTACCAGTAATGAAGCATTCACTGTAAAACTGTCGGTTGGAGTGTGCATAGAGAGTGTCTTGAAAAGCGTCAATGTAACAGCGGTTGATGACGGATTGATCAGAGCCAACGCGGAGAGCAACAGCCTGGTGCTTCTCTGGGCCTGCCGTGTTTATGAATCCAATGTCCTGAGCTATAAACCCATCCCCAACAGCAGCTACAAAAACCAAATTATACATGAATAAAAAAAATAGGACCGTCTTTAAACTTTTTGAGGCTTGTGTAGATCAGTCATGGTTCATCTTCAACAATATAACTAGAGTCTTATTCAGCTATAATTAACTGTGACAAATTTATTATGAAGTTCTATTTAACCTCAGTTTAATTATGAAAACTTTAAGGCTCTGTGCTACCCTGTAGACAAATGGAAACGATAAATAAAGACAGGCTGAAAATGAAAATCCATACCAACAGTTGCAGATTGGTAGGTGCCTGTTCCGTCAATAAAATTTAAGCTGCCTGAGATTATTGTTGCATTCATACCATCGCCGACAAGCATCACATTCGTCTTCTGACTACTGATTTCAACATTCTCTTTGTAGGTTCCGTTTTTCACATAGATAACATACCTTGTCTTACCTTTTTTAGGTGCAGATGCCACAGCCTCAGCAACAGTCTTGAAGTCGCCACTCCCGTCTTCAGCCACAACAACATTGGCCTTTATGTCCCTAACAGAAGACTCCAAAAGCCTTCGATCCTTACTCGTTATCCATGATGGAAAGTCACCATTCAATGATTCATCAATGAATCCGTCGTTACCTTTTGCAGGTAAAACAGAAACAAGCACAGCGAGAGAAGATCTAGCTCTTGATATTAAGTCCTGAAGGTGACTTTCCATAATCACCCGAGATGTACCTTGTAATCCATCCAAGCAAGTTGCATGGTTAGTGAGCACACTACTCAGCCATGTGTGTGCATCTTGCTGTGAGTCCATGTTATCTTTTGTTAGAGTCAACACTGAGTCCCAAACTCTGTCCATGGACAAGTTCATTAGTTCCACACAGTCATTCAAAGCAATTTCCTCTCTACGGCGGTTGACTCGGCTTTTTATAACATTGGCTGTATCCATGGCTTTTTGAATGTGTGTGGTGGATTTAGTTAATAAGGATATGAGTGTGCTCAACTTGTGATCATTTGTGTTAGCCAAGGTTGGGCCTTGAACTATTTCTGATACATGAGTTAAACATGATTTTGTATCAACAGCATGCTCACACAGATTGGGAGCTGAGGAGAGGTGGAAGAAAGAGGTTGGTATGTTGAGATGAGAAACAATAATGGCTGATGAGCTTATGATAGCAGCTAAAGAGAGGATTAACCAAAATGTTTTGGGAATGGATTTTTTAGGCCTGTCTAGCAATGTTTCTTGGGTAGCCATACTGATAAGCTAGCTAGTACTGGTTGCTCACTATGATCTTTGTTTATTTCATCAAACTAATGTATAGACAAAATAATATCAGATTTTTAAGAGAAGGATTGCAAATCCATCTGTGTTTATAAGGGTTGTAGGCCACCCAACATTAAATGGGTCGTTTATTATTTTTTATAAAAAAATCCAATAATATTTATTACATAAAGGGAATTACTTTAAATATAATATACTTTCATATGCTTTATATTATTTAAAAAAAATAATATAACATGTTCTTAAGTATAATACAAATTTAAAATTGTCTAAAATAATATATAAATATCAATATAACACAAATTAATAAAATAAGAATAAGTTTTAAAATAAAACTTTAAATAATTAAATATTAATTTAATTATATAAATATATAATATTAAAAATAAAAAAAGTTAAATATAATATAAAAAATAAAATTTTGTGAAATATCATATCTGTGTGGTATTTGAAATTTTTTAGGGTTTTTTAATAGGACAAACAAACTAGCCATGAACCATGCGAATTAGTTTGAATTGATATCAAACTCTTAAAATCAAGTTAAAAATATTCTTACAATATTCAGGCTCTAGTTATAAAATTCACAGGGTGGCGATCCACTGAGTTTGGGCAAAGTGCTATAGGACCTATCTTCATATTTGTAAATAGAAAAAAAAATTCTAATATTCAAGTTTAAATCTGTTTAGACACCAATTTTAGCATTGGTACTTTTGTCAGGTGGGTATGTGAATATCCGTTAATTGTATTTTTGATAAAAATAAATATATCAATTATAAAATAGGATTTAAAAATAGTGCACTATTAGTATAAGATAGTTTTACATATATAATTAATTAAAATGTTTATAATTACTATATAATATTGATATTTTTAAAATAAAAATATATTATTTTTAATACATGTTTGTGATTGATTCACAGTGTAAAATATTTTATACTGTTAGTATATTTTCTTTTTTCTCCATAAAATATAATATCATTTAAATTTTTATAAACATTAAAAAAAATTTAAAAACTATTATGTCGAATTATGAAATAAACAAACACATATATTAAGCATACAATTGTTTAACATTGAAGTATTTTTTACAATTGATAGAAATAAATTTTTATAAAATAAGATAAATTAAAATATATATATATATAGTGTTCGGATATGGAGCAAGTTAGGTACTAAAATGTCAATACACACACTCATATCCGATTATTTAATTGATAATTATTTGAGCTCATATCCTTATCTATTTTTCCTAATTTTTAACCTACCTATTATAGGTATTTTGTGGGTGTCCACTAGAAATGAGTCAAATTATCATTCTTAAATATTCAAGTGTTATCGGAGCTTTCGGACATGTAGATATAGACTAGTCAATTTTGATGGTGTAATTATAAAAATTTAATTATTGTTAAAATTTATAATCAATTAATTTTGAAAAAATATGTCAGTCTGAAATTGTATTGCAGAATCAAAACAATAATATTAAGCTCATCAAACTTCAATAATTTATGGGTAATGCTAATTTGTGCTCTCAAGGCACATATTAAAAAACCCATAAATAAAAAATATGTATAGAAAAAAATAATAAAATTATTAATTATAAGGCTGTATTAAATTTATTACACAATTTTCATGAATTATTTCCTATATCTCTCATTTAACTTGTGCCCCAAGGGAACAAGTTAGCAATACCCATAATTTATTATGTATGACCTTTAATTAATTACAAAAACAAAATCTTACCACACTCAACCCCATCATGACCATGTTTGTTACCCATGGATCCAAAGCCCATCATGACCATGTTTGTTCCCCATGGATCCAAAACAAACTTCTTTTCTTTCTTATTAGCTATAAATACAAATGTTACACAAATTAAAAAATATAAGTAGACGTTTAAGATAAACATATTGTGTATGTTTATTATCGAATGTAACTCTACCTATGTAAAAATTAATAAAATAATTCTGATCTAATTCCTATGAACTCGTATTTTTAGAATATATATTCGAATACAATATGAGAATAAAAGTGGAAACGTACTTGAGTTTGCTATTAAAATCGTTGAAATTTTTCGGATATGTGTATTTCGATTTGTAGATTGCCTTAGGTTTTTTTTTTTTTTTCCTGATGGTGATGAAGAGAGAAAATATGATAAACCATATTGGTTGTATTCTATAAATGGGAACCATAACCTATATAAATAACTCCCTTAGGGTTACTACTCAATTTTCAATATTCTAATTTGATTCTCATCAAATTAAAATATTTACTTATAGTATCCACACAATAACCTTTCATATATTCCCTTAGTCATACACTTAATATCAATTAGACCACTTTAGTTTTGGCTAATTAAATAATGATCGTAACACATGTAATATTACATTTGTGACATAAAATTCTACAATCTTTCATTTGTCACATATGTAACTTTACACATGTGTTAAACTTTATGAGCTAAGATTTTTCCATTATATATACTCCAAACATATCCAAATAATCTCGTCCATTAGTCATGTCAATACATAGAACCAAAGTGAATTTCGTTAAATCAATCATAACTAAAGTCGTCAACAATTACTAATAATGACAAAACTAAATGACATAGATTCATCATGAAACGTGTAGTATGAAAATCACAAGAATGTGGCGTGTACATGTCAATTTTCAATTGGTCCTACTTTACTTTAGTGAGATCATTCAATAACCTTATTGTAAAAAATATAAATAGTTGAATATCAAACTTTATAAACCAGAAAAATATTCAAAACTAGAGTATGCATACATAACACCAAACATATAACACAAAATTAATAAATGAATAACTCCCGTTGAACTAAAGATTTCTCAAATTGTAAAACACCCATGTGAATAGTGTGCTCATGAAAGACCTTGGGTGGAAGATCCTTTGTAAGAGGATATGATATCATGGAGTTTGTCCCTAAGTGTTCTATGGAAATTTGTCCACTTTGTATCGTTTCCTTAACAACTAGGAACTTGATGTCAATATGTCTTGACTTAGTCGAGCTCTTATTCTTGTTGGAATATATGATGGTTGATTTATTATCACGATATAACTCAAGTGGTATTTCAATTCCTTCTACAATTGATAACATAGTGAAAAGGTTCATCAATCAAATCCCATGGTTAGATGCCTCAAAACATGCTATAAGTTTTGGCGATGGTGGAAAAAGCAACAAGAGTTTTCTTGGCACTGCGCCAAGAAACTGCATCATCAGCCAACATGTAGATATAGTCTGAAGTGGATATTTTACTATATTGACATCCATCAAAATCAGATTCATAATATCTAGTGATCTCCAACTGGTCTGATCTCTTATATGTGAGCATATAATCTTTTTTTATCTTTAAATATCTCATGACCTTTTTGGTTTTTTTCTTCCAATTATCCATTCTTGGATTGCTCAAATATCGACCCAACATCCTAACTATTAATACAATATTCAGATGCTTACAAAATTGGGCATACTTCAAACTCCCTACAAGTGACGCATAATGAATCTTTTGCATCTCATGAATTTCTAAGTTTCCTTTTGGACACTGACTAAGACTAAATTTCCCCCCCTTATCAACTGAAGCATCTTCGGGTTTATATTCCTGCATTACACGCCTTTTAAGTACCTTTTTAATATAGCTCATTTGTGATAATCCTAGAACACCTCGAGATCGACCTCAATGTTTCTGAATTCCTAATACAAAGGTAGCGTCACCAAGATCTTTCATTTCGAATTTTCTTGATACAAATTTATTGGTTTTGTGCATCATATCTTTATCTTTAGTGGCAAGCAATATGTCATCAACATACAAGACCATAAAAATGTACTTGCTCCCACTGAATTTTTGATACACACAATCTTTAACAACATTTACCTCAAAAAGAAATGAGGTAATTACTTAATAAAATATTTGGTACCACTGGAGAGACGTTTTCTTTAGTCTATACATTGATTTTGTCAATTTGAATACCATATTCTTTGAGTATCCTGACACAAAGTTTTCTGATTGTACCATATGGATTATTTTATCAATGTTGTCATTGAGAAATTCCATATTAACATCCATTTGATGGAGTTCCAAATCATAATGTTCAACAAGAGCTATGATTTTCCTAACAGATTCTTTCAATGAAACCGAAGAGAAAGTCTCTTTAAAGTCAATCTCTTCCTTTTGGGTATTAGCCACAAGAGAGCCTTATACCTCCACATTACTGTTAGAATCTTGCTTGGTCTTAAAAATCCATTTACAACCAATGGGTTTCATGCCTTCTACTAATGAGGCAAGTTCCCTAACCTTATTGTCTTGCATGGACTTATACTTATTCTTCAGTACTTCAATCCGCTTTTCTAAGTTAGAATCTTACTTGGCTTGGCAGAAGTTGATTGGGGGCCATCTTTCATCATACCATTATTTTCCTCATGTTCATGGAGTAAGACTATGTAATCATCCGTAATAGTATTTCTCCTTTCTCTAGTGGATCTCCACAAAGGTATTGGTTCTTGAAACACTTGTTCTTGATGATCTTGAGTTTGTTCTTCATGACTTACCAAATCATCTTGAGTAGAAAGAAATTCAAAAATGTCTTGTGAAGGTTCCATACTAAAAATTCTGGGAAGCACACGATGGATGTTATTCCCAAGGTTATAACATCCACTGTGACATCTGTTACTTAACAGCTAATACTCAATAATAATAAAAGCAGTAAATAACACAATAATTGTTTACGCAGTTCAGTGTCAACAACACTTACATCTGGAGGCTACCAAGCCAGGGAGGAAATTAACTATTAGTAGACTCAATTCAGAGTTAAACCTCCAGTTTACACTCCTCACTTAATCTCTATCCAATGACACTTCAACCTAGAGACACTCTAGACCTGAGTATACCCACTCACTCCCCCTCAATCACACAACAGTGATATTAAACAATTACAGAAGACAATAAGAAGAGACACT